TTCACCTGATCTGGCAGTCTCTTATACAGTAGATATTTCAATTCTCTCACTTTTCGCAGTACGAGTTACACAAAGCCTCCAGGCCAAAACCATGAAGTGTTGATTTGGTTAGCCTGGAACAGTATGCTATGGCCTCTCACTATAAATGATACAGGCCTATAATAAGTTGTGTTACTTAAAGACAACTCGTTCCGCACGAACAGCAGCTATACCATTTGCTATGCTTCTAAATAGGCGCAGAAAGAACACAGTAGGAATTGGATCACGTTTAGCTAACCCAATAGTCCCTATTCAGTTTTTCTTGCATCCGCTTCGATCTGGTCAATTTTTGCTCGAGAGAAGCTGTAGGCAACGATGGGAAACACCGATGCACCAGACCAGGAGCGGCTTGATTCTCCGCAATTTTTCTTTTGCCTGACACCCTGGCACGTGGTCGTAACATCCCGCAATATGTATCTACAAGATGAGTGAAATTTTTTAGCTGATTACTGTGACTGATTGAACACTATTAGTTTAGCAGCTAATGTCCGCTGAATAGTGTTTAATTTACAAGGACACACAACGCTTGAAGGGGACAGTTCAGTAAAAATACGACCGTTCAGAAAAAACCTTATGCGGCCTATGGCCATTGGTTTATCTCACTAGAAATCAGAAAAACAAGTTGATAGCATATATAAGCACTCTGACACGTCAATATTGTATGTTCGAGCTACAAGGCTCCGCATATTTACAAATCATACTATTCGCCAGTAAAGACATTTTTTATTAGTTTCTCCCCCTCAATTAGTTCGAAAAGCTACCAAAAAGCGTTAACTTTCGTGTACATGTTGGCATCCGGAGAAGGCTTCCTATATTAGAGACATAGTCAATACACGTAAACTATATATAAAAATATATGATTTAGTTAGTGTACGCTTTATTTCATTTCGTATCCATAATAATTCAACAATGGGGGAAGCGCAATGCTATTTACAATGTCGACGAGAGTATCTTGCTGGTCGGATCGACGATCAGTTTGAAGGTTGCATTTCTGCCTCCTCGATTCCTGCGGCTATCGCTGACGATTGCTTTGGCGTTGGCTTCAGGTTCCCAAGTAAGTCGAAATTTCAGCGATGATGTCATCATTGATTGCTGGTACATTATCACCTGCCAAGATTGTTCGCATGTTGACCTGTAGATACGTGGCTTGACACAGAGGCTTCAGTCAGATATCGGGTCGTATCAAAAGCATGGCTGTTACAACCTCCAAAACATGCGACCTTTGTTAGACTTCGGTGTCCAATGATCAGGTGGAGCGGGCTCCTCAACGCACCGGGACTTAGCGGCACCCCGTGGCGGGAGATGACCTACGCTACTGCTATTTTTGCTTTTATGCTGATCGGAGGCCGAGTGCCGCCAATCAGTTCGTTTTCGCGGCGAAGGCATCAACAGCAGCGTCGTTAACAGGCCGACGACGACGATCAACGCGCGAATGCCTTAGACAAATAGCTGTGCTCGGGCCTCCTGATGTTCCTCATCAGTAAACGATGTTATTTTATGGATATATCGATCAGTAAATCCTATTGCATCAACATCAACAGCCGAAGCAAGAGTTGATTTTGTAGCTATTTGTAAACGAGCGTTACTATCGGCGGTGTCATATCGTTTTCCCTGTCTCTGTAAAGCCTGAGCGAAGCTTACGTGATTGTCTCTATTCATTATGTACATAATCTATTCTTGTCCGCTTATGTGTCTTAACAAACAAAGTATTCATATTTATAAATTTCAAACGTCGGCGCGCTAAGGTGTTTGCGAAACTACTCCTAGGACTAATAAAATCAAGCCTGCGCTGTGTTAGTAACGCATATACATATCCGTGATGGTGGGACTAAAATTGGGGTGATAGTGGGGCCAAAGGCAGAGTCGATATCGCATTTGGGTACTTCTGTATTTTCATTTACCAAATTTCTAAAATGCAGTAGCCTACTATGAGGCTAGCAGTTGTGGTGTGCCCTTATACGTTCACAAATACTTGTAGGTGCAGTCAGTCTTCTGAAGACTGACTGATAGAGTGGTCAAATTGTGAGAAGTATAATTGGAGGAGTAATGATTATATTAAATAGCAATGAGCCGATTTCCCGGTAAAAAAAACTGGCCGGCAAAATACAGTCCTTTCCTGTTTTTATGGCTGTGCGTTTTCTGCTAACCACTTTTAAAGCCAGTCAGATACATGATAGGGGAGTTCCCTATCCCCTTTACTTCCCTTTAACTAGTTTATTAAATTTTGGACATTAGTTCGGCTATTTGTTGAATATTAGACTGCCGCTAGTCCCTTTAAGCAGTCCGCTCTATAGATCTATTTGAAAACACTGCTGATTCAGCCCTACAATCGGAAAACTAATGAATTTATTTGGCATGTCTTCCGTATTGGATTACTGACGGCTGTTCCATTTAAGGTTTCCAATTTAAACTTCTGCGTGTATCTAATCATCTCTTAGCATATATATATAGATATATGTTTTTTCCAACTTTTTTCTCCGGGCTTCTGTTTTTCTGGCATCGTTTAAGATTTTCAATATTATATTGAAATATATCGAAAGGTAAGAGTAGTGGTAACAGTTCAACAAATTCTCAGACAATAGCTATAAATCAATTCTCTCTGAAATTTGTTGAGAAGCATTTTCTGAATTCATAATATGGGTCACTTCGGTCTCAGTCACACACGCTGGTTTTCTGCAATCTCTAAAATTATGTAAACTATTCGTATAATGCGAAGTCGATCTCGTTATAGCCCAAAATGGTCTGCAAAAGACAGCCGGCAATATCTTCTACGTTATAGGTATATATATATATATATATATTCCTATATATATATATATATATAGGATTATGACTTCTCTGATACCGTTTATAATTAGCTCAATATCCATTCAAGTAATCTTTAATTGGGTGCATTGATAATGTGGTCTCGAGTGACCGTTAGACCTTCAACTAATCAGGGCTTCGTTTTAGGTCTTTTTATATTTTTCTTTATATAAATGCTTTGTTTCTCCGTGTGGAGTCCTACGAACATTTGCTACACGTCGTAGGAGACTCTAACTTTGTTCTGTGGGAACGAATCCTGGCAAAGTCACTCACGAATCAATGGACATGCATTACTTTTAACACTTCTAGGTACAGTTCAGTCGATCTCGCTAGGATCGACGTTAACTTTATTAGAAGAATGTCTGACTTGAAATCCTGTTAACGATTTAACTGAGCTAGTTATTTGCAGAAATAGAAGTAAGTTCATAATGCGACTTCTTGTACTGCTATAATGCTATTTTAATGAATGAAGGCGTCGTCTTCGCACGACCGAGGTCCGCTGGCGTAAAGAGCTTTTCATCCCATTTTAGCATCTCATTAGTACCCTTCCCTGTTAAATACGCTCCGAGCCTGTTGCATAATGTACAAATCAATAGTTTTCGCCGGCTTCAGACGTTTAGATATCCCTTCAAAGATGGGTGCAGGACGTTGCCAACCCGACAAATTCAATTGGGCCTATGAATTCAAACGAGAACATGACAAGCCAACCACCTGATTCTAGCAATTACGCCGTAAATTCTCCTAGCTATTAATATATTTGAAATTTTTCTCTTGCCCTTATCGGTTGCACCCGAAATCGTAGGCACGCTCTTCGCTAAGAGTTGTTTAAGTGAAGCACACAGCGTGGTCAGTAGCTGATTTTTAGAAACTGCCCGTCATCGCCCGTCGAGACGCTCCCTCAGCTTGTAGGTTTCGATAATGTCCGTCTGAATCTCGGGGTGCACGTGTAACGCAAACCTTGATAGTAATCCCTGAGAATCCTTTGTTTTCACCCATAGCCAATAGAGTTTCTGTTAGTGTTTCACTACGCACAATTTATTGTGTTATCCAAATCAGTAAACTGCTTGGATATTAGAAATGCGTTCTTTACTCAAAACATGCATGCAAAATACACTCGTATGTGGGGCGCAGGGCATCGTTTTGCCGCCATCGTTCTGGCAGCACTGTGCCCCTCGACATTCCGACAGCCTTATCTTGCACTTCCGCATACTGTAATTATTCATCTGCTTTGCGGTCGTGGGCCGCCTTTTGTATACATGTCGTGAAGCGAACTTCGATTTTGACGGCCTGCTACACCGACAACCTCGAACGCAATAAGAAGCACGTGATATTAAGATCCCAGATGTGCGTACTTTTTTATGTTCATAGCGTCAGCTTTCGAAGCAGCTGCTGATAAATAAACGCTTACAGAAAGTTCCTTTATGGAAATTGTGTCCAAACGAGCTGAGTGCTTTGTATTATGGACATAGGTTATGCTACGTAACTAAGAAACCCGCAAGTTACTTGTTTCTATGCGGTAGTGGCTGTTGAGCTTTGGCTATCAGGCCATGGATATTTAGAGTTGCATAGAAGTTTGTACGCGTATCACTTTAGCTTTGTAACACCAATCTGCAAATGTAAAAATTCTTCCCTAGCGAGCCATATTCACCATCCGTAAACATGGGCGACCCATGTCGGCGGAAGACGCCTCGATTAGTTGCCACGCTGAGTCTTGCGATACTACGACAAGTCTTCGTAATTAGACAATTACATTTCCCATACAATCGACAAGCTTCGTATCCGTCTGCCAGCCAACATTTTCGTGGGCTCAATGAAGAGATCCGCTCTCGTTAGCATTCGATCCGAATACTCTAGCTTCATCTGGCCAATGGCGACTACTACGATTATACAATAGCGTCTGTCATCAAACAGCCCCATTAATGACTGAGGCACAGACGCAGCGTAGTTCGGTTCAAACGTTCGCTCAGACGCGGCCATCGCGAACAAGCACCCGCCACTACCAGCGGCGGAACCCGCATCACCTCTCCATCCAACTCTCGCCTGTACCATAATCATTCTCTCCATTTTCTCTTTGACGGCGGGCTGTTCTTTCTTACATGCATGATGATGTTGACTTCGTCTTACGGACTCAGATTGCTGCAGGCGTAATTGTTTGTTTCCGCAAGTTTGTGCTTATGAGTGTTCTCCAAGTGCTATAGATAAACAGACCGAACGCAGTGGGGGTATGTGCACATATATGTCTGTACATTCGTTTCACTCTTGTACTAAGTTTTAATTTATTGGTGTTGTTATTGTACAATTCATTGGATTTACTGTCACGGAGCTATGACTATTGTCTACGTAATATAAATGTGGAGCGCGTAAATATAAAAAGCCCATATTAACATTGAACGTAGAGGTTGATCAACCATGTATGAATGTGACTGACTCACTTGCCTAAATTTGATCTACCCCACAAAAGGCATCTCTTTAATATGTTTTTTATGCTGCTTCCGGATAATAGGATACATAATGAGGCTCTTCTGGGAGATGCTCTATTTACTTTGGTATGGTGCGGTGATATTTACGGACGGTCTAGAGATCCGTCATCTGTCAACGGATATAGGGCAGGGTTTAGAGCGATATGTGAAACTACTAAAAAACTGCTCTAGAGCAATGTTAATCAACGATGATCCCCACGTTGAAGTTCGCTTTCGAGGAGACTGCTCTTCTGATGCCGTTCGTATCATACACCTTGGGTTTTATCAGCCGCGTGAAATTATTGTAGAGTTCGCTATCGAATCGCCCTATGTGCGGTTACTATCACTTAAACTTAACGTTCAAGAAAATCCTCGACTCCAAGGCTTGTTGAAGAAATCAACAAAGCTACCTACATTGAGAGCTAATCAAACACTTTCAAAGGTTTTAAACCTTACGGAATGTCAGGCAAGAATCAGGCGTCGTCCGCGAAGCGCTCCATTGCTTGGTCTTTGTGACGACGATCCATACTTGTGGAGAAATTGTATCGATATTCTAGATGTTTACACTGAGTCCAACGAATCAGATGAATTCGTGCTAGCTGTGAGGTTGGCTGATAACTTCGAGGTGAATATCGCCGTGGGGCTCTCTCCAAAGGCAGTACTCCCGGAGCCCTCATTCAATAGTCAGCTTCGAATAGAAGTCGTACCCAGACTCCTATCGGCGGTGTTACGTCAGGTTCTGTCCACGGACGACTCCAGTTCTTTTTTCAGGGTGATCAGCTTGCCCTCCTCATGCACCTTTCTGCGAGCGCTAACACGAACGAAGGTAGCGCAATTCACCCAAGAAGCTATCGATAAATTGGCGATCGCCTTCTACTGTCGAAAACCTACTGATGAGACTATGGTACAACTAGAATTAGTTACTATGTTCGGCCAAACATCGGACCCATTTTTCGTCACAATCTCTATCCCGGTGGATATCGACCTGTCCTATAACGGCGTAGTACTGGCTGGAACGACGTCTACAGTTCGATTAACCGTAACGAGCTCCAGAGATGCCGAAATACGAGTGGTGCGTGGCCTACAGCGGGGTATCCTTCTTGCTAACGGATCACCGATCGATTCATTTGGTACCAACATGTCACTCGACTACAGTGTTCAGGGCGTAGGCACGCATCTCGCCCGAACTGTCACTACGGATAACCTCGTTCTCGCCTTCGGTTCGTTTCACTTTATTGTCCCTGTATTGCTAGTCCCATATGAAGAGTTGCAGCTCCAGTTAAACCCTGTCAGGGTGGTCCCCGGCAGCGGTGTTGTTCTAAGTCCGAAGCACTTGAATTTAGCGCGTAGCCACACCGGCAGCTTCAACTTAACGCTCCTCGACCCGCCAGCTGGTGGGCGGCTGCTTAAGTACGGTGAGGTTGTGAACAATATCTCGTCCAGCGATCTTCTAGATCTACAAATCTCATTCCGAGCTTTCCGAAATGCCTCAACTTCGGAGACGATCGTTTTCTCCTATACCACACCGGGCAGCGGCCAACAACACACAACCAGGCTTCTCGTAGAGTATACCGGTCAGAAGGAAGACCTTGTGGCCCCGCAGCAGTTTGAGTGTTCCTTACAAGTGGTAGTCCACCCGCGCAATATCCGCGTTCCGCTCGGCAAAAGCAACCTACACTTCGTCGATGCCAGGGAAGGCGGCGTCGACGCTGGCTTCGCGGCGAATTGCGCACGCGAAGTGATGTACGAAGTAAAGACAATGGATAGCGCAGTGAGTGGCTATTTAGGGAATGAGAAGGGCCACCAGATAAGTAGCTTTTCTCAGGGTGACATCAATCAGGGCTCGGTTTTCTACTTCCCACCGAACGTGTTTCATAGGGTTGGTGGGCAAAAAGCCATTTTTGAGTTTCGGGTGTATGATGCTATGGGAAATACCGGGCCAACAAACAATTTGCAGGTGTACCTGGAAGCTCTTAAAATTAGCAAGACTGTCTCAAAGCAAATTGTGTGCCGACAGCCGAAAGTCGTGCTTGGCAGCGAGCTTCTATCGTTAGGCTATAACAGCTCATCGACGGTGCTTGGCGTGACTGTTTTGCCTAAATCCGGTCGTTTGGTGAGGACGAGAAATGGTGTCGATAACGACTTTGTTATTGGAGATAGCTTTAGCCAAGGAGAGCTGATCGCCGGATGTATATCGTATCAAAGTGGCTTTGCGCCGACGAGTGATACATTCGAGTTGTTGGCGGTAAATCCAAAGGATCACACGCTTCGGAGGCGTAAAGTGAAACGATCACGGCTGAAGCGACGCAAGTTTAAAAGGAACGGTATGCAGTACTTTAAAATTGTTGTAAAGCTTATCGTCGACGACCAGATGACGGGGACCGAGGGTCGGCGAGAGCATAGTCTTGAGCTGGTTGTTGACGAGGGACGCAAGAATAGCATTGTCCAGACGGGTTCGAATTTTACCCTAGCCAGCATACCGCGTCATGGTCAGGTTTTTATTGCCGTCGAAAAAGACGATACGGTCCAGATAACGTACGTTCATTCGGGGAAAGAGGTTGGCTTGACAGAAAACAAAGATCAATTTGTTCTGGAATATTCACAGGGGCTAGCAAAAGTACACGTCCGGATCATCCCAGTTGATAATGCAGCACCCATAATCAAGGCGGCGCATTTCTATCAAGTTATGGAGGCGGCGTCCGTCAATTTGGACATAGAAGTATTTGACATAGACTCGAAAGCGTTTTGGTGTCACATCATAGAGGCTCCCAGCTACGGCCGGTTAACTTTAAATAATGATAACGTAGTAAACCAAATAGACAACAATAACGTTGATCAGATAGTGTACAGGCAAATTGTTCACCGTTTCGTTGAACCGACTGAAGACCACTTTAGCCTAAGCTGCTCCGATGGAATCAACGTTAGCCCGCCAAAAAAAATACAAATATCTATAACTCCACAGAATGACGAGACTCCTAGTCTTAAGGTGATCAACGTGACTGTCCTCGAGGGTCGCGAAGCTCCGGTAAAAATTGAAGCTGTCGATGGGGACGTCCCTAGAGATAATCTCAGCTTTCGAATTAATCATCTTCCGACGCACGGAATCGTCGGCCTGCTCCAGCCAAACGGGCGTGTGGAGGCGATGGTGAGTTTTTTCGAAAACGCTTTAACCTTGCTGATGTACAAACATGATGATTCAGAAAACCTGCGCGATTCGTTTGAGGTGACGGTAAGCGACGGCATCCACTCGAGTCGCCAGCGTATTGCAGTAAAGGTGTTGGCTGTCGATGATGAGGCACCAACGGTTTTGGCCAATAGAGGTCTTCAAGTGAAGATCGGTGATGCTTCAGTCATCACCTCCGAGCATCTCAAAATAGTAGACGCGGACAGCGATCCGACCTCTGTTCGTGTCAATATTGTCAAACAACCTCGATATGGCTCTATTTGGAGAAATGCCAACGACGCTGAGCTTAATCAAACAATCATCTCGTCATTTAGTTGGCAAGACTTAGAGTTCAGTCGCATCTCGTACATACACACATCGGTGCTCTGCTGTACGAATGATAGCTTCGAGTTTGCCCTCAATGATGGCTTTAATGAGGGCCCTCCACATGTGTTCAACGTGACTGTTTTTCGTCCGGTAACTATCGCCATAGAAAACAATAACCGAACGTTCGAGACAACGCTTATAAACTGTTCACAACGTTTGCCGGAACTTAGCAGTATTGCGGATATTGATTGGATTGAGATGTCGCAAACGCAGAAACCTGTAAACGGGAAACTGGACATCATCGACCTCGGTGAGTGTGGCATACGTGAAACGTGCCTGTGAGGTGGCCTTATCATCTTGAAGCAGACTGCGTTACGTTTGCTGGACTGGTTTTCTTTTTTGCGTTTAACATTTCGTTCAGACTGCTTCGAGTAGTCGACTAATATATCGTATCAATTTACTTGTACTTATTGTATAGTATACTATGTACCGTTTTGTTTCGTTGGGTCAAATGGGGCTGCAAATGGAAACGAACTATCATCAAACATCTGCGACAGATCTTTCGCCGCCGGTCATTCTGCTATCGTTGCTCATTCCATATATATATATATATATATATATATATAGTTGTAGATCGGGACTCAAAAAACAACAGTTATTGCTTTGAAGCCTTTTTTGGCCAAGTAAGCTTTACTTTGAAAACTGCTATATATAGGGGAACCCTTTTTCTTCTACTTCATGAGTACTATAGATACAATCTTCAATTAGCGGCAATCGAGAGTGGTGAATGTCTAGCGAACAGCTGATGTTAAGCTTAGCCGTACGACACCAGCCATTTATAATGCGATAACAGGCAGTGGCAGGCCTTCAGTCCAGATAAATATATTATTAGCCTTATCAATAGGGATTCTCTGGCTGGTCCAGTTAGCTTCTATTCTACCGTTCACTTGAAGAAGATATGAAAGCATAGAATTGCAAGTAGGAGTGCTGTCAGTCATTGCGAAATGAATTGCCCATTTTGAATATTAAACAAGCACAGATTTTTTTACAGTTTGCGCTGTATAGGATACGTTTTTGCATGTGCCACAAAAAATGAGCATTAATTATATTATATATAGACTGACTGTCGCTGAAATAGGGGTATGATAGGTGTAATGAAGTGCTTTTTATTATATAACGCGTGCATTCAAAAGCGAATTACTCGATAAAACGTTTTACCATACACGGAGATATTAGTCGTATTTCTTTTACACATTGGGCGATCGCAAATGAATTAAGTCTTAGATGATAGAATGGAACGGGTGGAACCATTATACGAGTGAAACTTCTCTGTGTGTCTGACACTCCCAGACGGGACGCTTTTATCGGCCATGATCTACAGGTCGGCTGTGAACTACATTTGAAACAGGCTCGTTCCGTGGACGAGTACGAACGGCCTTACATCCGTTGTATACAGACCGCTGAACAGTTGCTAACCAAAAAGTACGCTGCAAGATGCTTGTTTTGAAGACATCCTACAACCTAGAAGTGCTTCACAGTAGTACAGGATGAGCTTTCTGTGGAGTATTAGGGTACCCCGCCAATCGGATACCTAAATTCGTTCAAACATAATTTGTGAAAACCTTTTTACCGAAGCGGCTGCTAAGACAACAGATAAAATCAACTTGAGCTTCGTGCTAAAACGACCTTTACTGGTATATAGATGTATATAAGTTAAATTTCAACAGTCATTTACAGACTCTACTATATCTACTGGCTGCACTGTGGAGCGACGTAACGTTTCTGTTTGTCCAGTTCTAAGTCTGGCAAGAAAAAATTTACAACAAAGAGGCAATTTCAGATATAGCTCAATTAATTAGTTAATATAGTAGATCATAAGGATTCAGGTGGGCCTGGTAGTTCATTCAGGTAAGTTAGCCGTATTGTTAATGCAACAATGCAAATCATAATAAAATGAGAAAAAAAATAGAACAGTACCCCAAAAACTTTTTATGCACAAGTAATATGACGTGTACGAATTATTCGTTTATTTACTGCGCACTGAATTACAGTTACGGCTAAAGAGGTACCACGGCGATTTACATTTATTTTAAATAAAACAGGACAAAATGGAGTTTTAATTTCATACGAGAAATGATTCTGTTCCCGTACGGTCTGTGTTCCGAACTTCTTCTGGTCGGTAGTTCTGTTTTTGCACAAATAGGTGTGCGCGACCACACCTATTTTTAGTTACCTATATTTAGTTACCAAGGTGACATAAAGAAAACTCCAGTACACATTTTCTATGACCTTAAGAAAGGGTCGCTGTTTCGCTTTTAGGTCGACTTGTGTACCTATACCAGAGCCATTGTATCACATTTACAATGAACATGGCGAGGTGTTAAAAAAAGAAAATTCATCTCGTTTTGAAAAAGATCGGAAGCATATCATTATTGATGTTCTCAAATCAGCCTTTTATTCTGCAGTGAGAAATTTACATATGCTCATCTATGTTATGGCACCCATATATACATATAGGGCAATATGTCACCCAACTAAGTGTAGCATCATAATCTGTACGATAGCCTATCTCGGTTTGTTTATCCTCACGCAAGACAATCGCCGACACTTATCTGCCCAACAAAAGTGGGCTTCTCCTTTTCTAATAGCTCTTCATGGTACGGATAGACCTTCGGTTTCTATGCATTCGGCATGCATGAAAGCAGCACCATCGACGTTGTTAAAAGTCGCCGTTGTCCACTGTTCAGGGATAACAAAGCTGTTAATAATGTTTGCTCTGATTGTGTTTTTCATTGTCTCAAATGCTAATTGCCCCTGTCCTAGCGCAAATAGGTTGTAGGGCAATTAGTTCGATCGTGAAATGAAACAGTTTCTACCACCATTTATCACATGCACAGAGTCGGCCGACAAACCTAGCATCAATATAGTCTTTAATAATAATAATTCCACTGCGGTATCTGATGCTCAGGACTAGCGCTCGTTTGTTGAATTTTTGTTTTTAAGGTAGGGCGATAAAAACACGAATGTCAGACACATAAACGTCGCGTGAGGTACATTTAGGAGTAACTCATCATTGTTCGTACTGTTTCATGCTCCGCTGGTTGTTTCCAGGTTGTAGCTCTTCGCTTTTCGAAGCATCGATGTGTAACTTTTGATTTTTTGCTACTTGTGGTCATGACTTGAATCTGTCGATGGATGACCGCTAGCTGTGCGAGAATGACGGAAGGTACGCTTCCGCGAAAATGAAAACCAAACACGCTAGTTAATGACGCAGCAAAACCGATAAGAGAGGAAAGGTCGTCACGAAATTGCCACTCTCAGATGTGACCAGTAGCAGAACGAAAGCTGAATCTCGTATACGATGTGGCCAATGGAACAGGTAGTTCGATAGCGCTAATGGAGTCTATTCCTGTTCTGTGTAATAATCTACTGACGTCGTCATATATATCGGAGAAATTTATCAACGCTATCCGTAAGCTTGGCTTTACCTTGCGGTGAAAAGCATCCAGTGCTTCCTCTTTTTGTGAACGTACTTCATTTATCGTGAGTGACTACCAAATATAGGACGCTACTAACTAATGCTGCAGCTGTAGGAACAAGGCCATTATCGCCATGGATTTTGCCGCGCTTATGGCGGTAGCGGTGATCCTCATCCGGCTGCTATGTATTAGGCTGACGTTCCACTGAGGATTCCTAAAATTCTAATATTAATTACTGCTTAATTAGATGAAGACGCGGCACTTCATTGCAATATACTATATTTTATAGCGCATCATATAATATAGTGATTAAACAAAACGTAGTAAAACGACAAATAATAATAAATCGTTTTCCTTTCAGATTGCATCGCACAATTTCTTTATTATAAAGGTAATCTATTTTCATTACAAGTGTGCTTGCGCTGAAAGTTCAGATCCATTCGCGTAGTTGCAATGACAATTATAAGATATTAGAAACGATATGAATCCGTCCAAGTGACTCCGTACTATATTTGGATGCTTTTAGATGCCATCACGGCACGTATCCCGTCATATATAGTTAATGTCCGTTATAATAATCATTAAAGCATAATTTCACATGACTGCAGTGGCCGATGATTGTGTCGTATTTTATAGGACTATGTCCAGTGGCCAATTTTGTCGCAAAAAGGTGTCTAAGTAGCATCAAAAGTTGCATTTATGATTGCAATGAATTTAGGCTACATTGTAACACTAGCTCAAGTGTTTGCGTCAGAACACGGAATAAACAAATATGCCGCATCTCTGCGTTTATATACGTGTAAGCGTACGTACTGTATAGAAGAATGGATAATACATATATCATTTATTTGCGTAGATAAAGGGGCTTTATGTAATTCATTCACTGCCACAGAAGAACAAATTCTTCAAGATTTGAAGACACCATCGATCGAGTTGGTTCCCGTTTGCGTGTTTCTCAATTATTACTCTTTTGCTTTTAGAATAGCGCATCGATTAATCTGATTACTACCAGTACGTGATTCAACAGAGATGCAGATTGAATTTACGGAACGGCGTTCGGCCCCCAGCCCCGGAGAGTTTGCCGCAGACGTACATACAACCGACAAGCTATTAACGTTCGCCAAATGACACACATAATACAAGCTCAATCTATTTCGTCGTGTTCCTGACCTTGTCTATGTTTAGCTGCTCGGACGCTAAAGAAGTACTCTTTGGTTTCTGTGCAAAATTCTTGTTTAAAATGGGGTTCTGTGACGGCACGGGGTGAGTTTGGTTCGGTCGGAATGAAGCAGTAACGAAAATACCTGCAAAAACTCCGATCGTAAAAGCCCGTTTGTATGAATATGTGCGTATATTTTTATCCAGTTGATATGGTCAACATGTATTTAGGGAAAATTATAGCTGTAAAATCCTCTGGCTTTTTTTTTTATCTCATAGTAGTCTTTATTTTCTAAATGATATATGTTTACCGCTCAGAACCTCGGCGCTTGTTGCGGCAAAAGCTGGGAAGCAACATTGGCGAAATTGGAAAGGATCACAACATTGAAAAGTAATAGCACGGAATACTGTCAGAGTGGGCTGGCAGAGAATCGTGCGGTGAAACGTAACGTCAGCTACACAAATGACTGGTGCTGAATCTTACTTTAATGGGGTATGGGAGTAGCCGCTATCTTCGTGAACATTGTTTTTGGAAAGCTGAGTCGTCAGTTCGTGAAACGGATACAAAAATGGCCAAGCTCACCAGATGAAAAAAGCTGTAAAGCATGCTATTAACTAACTAGAAAAATAGGCGAAACGTCCCTTAGCGAGGTCAGTGATTTACTAACAAGGG